TGTACAATACTGTATTCTTCTGTGGCTTGCTAGTGAGCTTTGTGGTCAGCTGCTCTTTCTTGGGGGCTCACACTATTGATATGGTAGTAATAATCAGATATGACCCAGTGGCACTTCAACATTATTATAGTGACATAATTCCCTTATTTGCCAAGCCCTTGTTAAAATTATACATATGGAGTTTGTATAATTTTATAATTATAATGTGTATAATTTATGCACAACAGTTTCATATGTGAAGGTGGAGGGGAAGTGAAGTGGAGCTGGTGTGGAGATGAAGGTGGTGGACTTCTGTGTGGAAGGGGAGTTAGCAGGGGTTTGCCGTGGGAAAGAAAAGGCCAAGATCTGGTAGACTGTGGACATCCCTGAATTATATTCTTGGAAGTACTTTTGAAATGGAGAATTCCTAGAACAAGAGGGTAGACAGGGAACTCAAAGGAGTCAATAAATAAGGGTTGGCTTCAGCAAGAGAGAAAGAGTTCAGGGAAGGGATCAAGGCTGTGTGGACCAGTGGTTGAGCTTTGCCCAGAATTTATCCCCTTGCAGCCTCTGAGCTACCTTCCATATCTGTTAATCTTAGTTTTTCTTCCTGTTACCTGGTGGTGTAGATCTTTCCAAAGCAGGTGTACATTCTCCTTCAGGAGGATAGGCCATGATAAATATGAAAATGCAAGACATAGAAATCTTAGGAGCAGCCTATGGATTCATTATTGTTCTGACTTCACCCTACTTTCCTTTTTTTGGTAGAGACAGGGTCTCAAATATTTTTCACTTTCAAATCTCTTGAGCCCTTGAACCCTTGGGAGGAGGGAGCTCAGAACCCTGGAGAAGTAAAGAGCCTCTGACCTGCACATAACTGTGCTCTTTTCCATTTGGCAGTAACGAAGGGGTTTATAAAAGGTTTGTTGTTTGCTGAACAACAGGGGGAGAAAGCTCAGATTTTTTCAAGTCCTTTTATGAGTTTATTTAGAAAATGAAAAAAAATTATGATTTTAGTGAAAGACGTGGGAAGGAAGACAGAAGTGTGCATGAAACATACGATGAAACTACTGTCCCCTTCTGTGAATCCGACATTACTGAAACATTATCAGTAAATCATGAACATGCTTTTTGTTTCAGTTCTTGTTCTTAGAAATCAGTGGGAAGTTCCTTTTGGCTTTAGATGCAAGGAAATTTTGCTGTATCTGGGAACGAAAAGTCTTGGGGCCAAGTTTGGGGAGGGTGGAGTGGCACTGGGAGGATTATGGTGGGGTCTGACCTGCGGCCATGCTGAAGCTCACTGGCCAGAGCCACCTGGAGCCTAGCCAAGTGGGTTTAGTGATACTTATTACAGCAGTCTGGATTCCACACACTATGGGCGGATTCCACACACCATGGGGAACTGGAAGGTGCAGCACATCACTGATAAGAAAATATGGGAGGAATCTGTTGTAGGATTTAAGCCTGCGGTAGGTGATTTTGGAGATGTTCAAGAAAGCAATGGATTGCTCTGGATGAATGTCATGAAGCAAGAGACAATTTTGTGTGTGTGTTTTTGTTTTTGAGGCAGGGACTCACTTTGTCACCCAGGCTGGAGTACAGTGGCACCATCTTAGGTCACTGCAACCTCCGCCTCCCATGCTCAAGCTATCCTCCCTCCTCAACCTCCCTAGTAACTGGGATTACAGGTGTACACCATCAAACCCAGCTAATTTTTCAATTTTTGGTAGGGACAGGGTCTCACTATGCTGGTCTCGAACTCCTGGGCTCAAGCCATCCTCCTGCCTCTGCCTCCCAAAGAGCTGGGATTACATGAGTGATGCCCCGCCCTATTCCAATACTTTTGGCAGTGGGAGAACAGAGAGGGCTTAAGTTGTAATTGGTAAAGAAGCAGCAGTTACTCTGTTTAGCCAGGAGAGGGGGGTGTGTGATCATTTTGTGATTTGCAGGATGCTCTTGTTTTTGTGGTCTGGCATGATTATGACGTGGTCGTGTTTTTACCCCACTCAGTCACAGTGACAGAATAGCCTTGTTTGATATTTAGTGCTTTGTGAAGTGTCTTCTTTTCAGTAGGAAACACACAGCCTAGCTGGGAGTGCCTGGTCTGCTCTCAGCTGATGGCTGTCAGGCCTGCTTTTTTTCTTTCTCAATCACAGCCCTCATTCTCTTTCAGGTTTTTGTTTGTTTGTTTTTGAGATGCAGTCTCGCTCTGTCACCCAGGCTGGAGTGCAGTGGCTCAATTTCTGCTCACTGCAACCTCTGCTTCTGGGGCTCAAGTGTTTCTCCTGCCTCAGCCTCCCAAGTAGCTTGGGATTACAGGTGTGCACCACCACACATGGCTAATTTTTGTATTTTTAGTAGAGACAGGGTTTCACCAAGTTGACCAGGCTGGTCTCAAACTCCTGAACTCAGGTGATTCTCCTGCCTCTGCCTCCTAAAGTGCTGGGATTACAGGCATGAGCTACTGCTCTCAGCTGTATTTGGCTTTTGTAAGTTTTATTGTCCCTTTCAATTTTGAAAAACCTAGAATCATTTTCTAGATTCTAGGTTTATAGATTTAGATGGCTTTTGATTGGAAATCATCATAAGGGTATAAATCCAAGCACATGTCCAAGGTTTAAATCCCCACCAGGCTGGCACACTCCTGACAAATTGCCTGACGTGGTGAAATGGACCAGGAAGTAAATTCATCCTTTCTCTGTCTTCCCCCCATTTTATTTCCGAAAGAAAAAATATTGTCCTATTGGGAAGTCTGAGGCATGCTACAGCCACTGAGCAAAGAATCAATCTTAGAGTAAGGGAGCTAAAACCAAATACCTCGAAAAGTCAATGAGAAACTCTGAGGAAGTATTCTCCCCCTAATTACACAGCGGTATGGGGGTCGGAGACCACTCAGGGCCTTCTGTGCCTGTGCATCTGTGCTCCAATTCATCCTTCCCTCCTGCAGCAAAAAACAGTGGCTCCAAGTCCAACCCGGTCAGAAAGTTTTGACTCTTTCTGAAAGAGAGAAGGAGGGAGATAAGCACAAGGTATTATGAGAAACGGTTTACAAAATAAAGAAACAAAAAAATTGAACCATTGGAGTTGATGTTTAAATCCCTCCAAACTAATAAATACAATATGGAAAATGGGGAGAATCAGGAGTGAGAATAAGGGGAGGTGAGTAGGAAGGTCGGAAATGTGCCATAAAGTGGGAAGGGGTCTGGCCTTTGGCGATTCGTCTGTCTTCCCTTTCTCTGCTTTCTCAAGAGTCACATCAGGAATAAGTCAGCTTCCTTCAGGAGCCCCTCCTTGCTTTCTAGACAGGCACTATTGAGATGTTACTTTCCTTCATGTATTGGTTATTTATTTATTTATCGAGACAGGATCCTCCCAAAGAACTGGGATTACAGGTGTGAGCCACTGCGCCTGGCCACTTGAGGGACTTTTATTTGTAACAAGACAACCTTTACTCACCATACATTTCCTTCTCTCACCTTCCCATAATTTGTCTCCATCGTTTTGCAGAAACCCTGTCCCCTCCTTTCTGTAGCTCAGGATGCTGTATAAGCTTCAATCATCCGGTCCTTCTTTGAGTCTCATATTTTGAGATTTGAGGGACTCTTGTGCATACACATGTAATTAAAATGGTTTTTCTCCTGTTAATCTGTTTTAGATAGATTTAATTTGCAGCCCAGCCAAATAACCTTGAGGGGTAGAGAGAAGCAGATTTTCCCCTCCCTTACACAAGGAACCAACCACCAGGCAGGTCTAGTAATGACAATTCTCTGGGAATAGGGTTTTGAAGGAGCTCTAACCCTTTTCTAGTCCCCCCAGTGACTGTTAGGAGCTGTTTTTCACTGTGATCATGGGCTGCTTTCTAGTCTACTGTAGGGCTGTGGTGGAGTGATGGTGGTATAATAGAACATGTTAAAATGCCTATAAAACACTGTTCTTATTGAGTTCAGCCATTTTTCTTGAATAAAATTCACTCTGATTGCTGCAAGCCTTTGGTTAATTTACAGAGTTCTTACAACGTTGATTCTGGCAGTTTTTGTCAGTGTTTATTGCTTTCAGGGAGGAAGGGATTTTCAGAGGTCCTGACTCTATGATTCTCACTGATTTCCCTACGTGTGTGTGTGTGTGTGTGTGTGTGTGTGTGTATGTGTGTGCATGCACACAGTGTGTTTCATGTCTAAAAGTATAATTTGAAAATAACTAATGCTTTAAAACCTTAGCCTTTTCCTCCCAGGATAGATTTGGCTATCTTAGAGCAGCAATTCTCAGATGTTTTAGTCTCTTTACCTCCTTATACTCTTGAAAATAATTGAGAACCCAGAGAGTTTTTATTTATGTGGGTTATATCTATCAACATTTAGCATTTAAAAATTAAAACTGGGCTGGGTGTGGTGGTGCATGTCTGTAATTCCAGCACTTTGGGAGGCTGAGGTGATTGGATCGCTTGGGCTCAGGAGTTTGAGATGAGCCTGGGCAACATAGTGAGACCTTGTCTCTACAAAAGATACAAAAATTAGCTGGGTGTGGTAACGTGCACCTGTAACTGCAGCTACTTGAGAGGCTGAGGCAGGAGGATCACTTGAGCCTGGGAGGTGAAGGTGGCACTGAGCCGAGATGCAACCACTATACTCCAGACTGGGCGACCGAGTGAGTCTCAAATAAGTAAATAAATAAATAAAACTGATTTTTTTTCTTTTATTTTTGGAGACAGAGTATCAATCTGTTGCCCAGGCTGGAGTGTAGTGGCACAATCTCGGCTTACTGCAAACTCCACCTCCCGAATTCAAGTGATTCTCCTGCCTTAGCCTCCCAGTAGCTGGGCTTACAGGCACGCATCACCATGCCTGGCTAATTTTTGTATTTTTCACAGAGATGAGCTTTTACCACGTAGGCCAGGTCTCAGATTCCTGGGCTCAAGTGGTTCACCTGCCTCAGCCTTCCTAATTGCTGGGATTACAGGCATGAGCCACTGTCTCTGGCCCCTACAACACATTTTAAACACAATAATACACACTGTGACATACCTTCCAATAGGTGTCAGATGGATGATGTCATCATGTCTTTAACATCTGGAAAAGTCCAGTGCACACATGTGAGAGAATGTGAGTAAATGAGGCAAATAACTTTTTACAAAAGTAATTAATTAATTTTTTAAAACAGAGGTGTGGTCTCACTATGTTGCCCAGGCTGGTCTTGAATTCCAGGGCTCAAGTGATCATCCCACCTCATTTTTTTTTGAAACAGGGTTTCACTCTGTCACCCAGGCTTGAGTGCGGAGGTGTGATCACAGCTCACTGCATACTCAACTTCCGAGGCTCAGATGATCCTCCCACATGAGCCTCCTGAGTAGTTGAGACTACAGGCACTCACCACCATGCCCAGCTAATTTTATGTATTTTTTGTAGACATGCGGGTTTCACCAAATTGCCCAGGCTGGTCTCGAGCTTCTGGCTTCAAGTGATCTGCCCACCTCGGTCTCCCAAAGTGCTGGGATTACAAGCATGAGCCAGCACGCCTAGCCGCAAATAACATTTTAGTATTATTATGAAAATGGTCTTGGCCAGGTGCGGTGGCTCACGCCTGTAATCACAGCACTTTGGGAGGCCAAGGCAGGTAGATCACCTGAGGTCCGGAGTTTGAGACCAGCCTGACCAATATGAGATAGAGACAGCTGACTCTATCTCAAAAAAAAAAAGTCCCACAACCTTAGGGGTCAGACCACACTTTTAAGAATTGCTATCTTAGTGGTTCTAGAGAAACAGACTATAGGACATTTACTGGGGAGTCCCTCAGCATCAACACCTTGGAGATGTTAAGGAAGGAGGATAGACGGAAGGAAGATAGACAGAAGGAGAAGTTGAAATATAATGCAGTCTCACAATGAGCTCTGGAACTGGGGCGGCCCTTCAGAGTTGTGCAACTTGTGCAAGGGGTCCAGTCATTGGATGTGGTCCACTGCTGAGGTGCAATAACCTTGGCCTCTTGGAGCAACAGGGCTCTCTTTGGCCCTTTAACAATTGGCTGGTATGCAGTCAGCTGAGGGCCCTGGGCCACCAACACTGCAGCTGGTTGACTGTGTGTCTCAGTCCCTCATGGAATGATCAGGGCAGTGCACCACAGCATCCACGTCTGTGGGGAAATGAGGGTGGAGTTGCACAGTTTGCGTGGAGTGGGGAGGCAGAGAGAAGAAAAGGTTTTGGTGCTGGACATAGTATAAAACAAAGGGGGAAGGAATCTTTGTTTCTCAAGTACAGCTTGCAGTTCTATCTGAAGTTGGTCCCTGAGTTCACGTGCGAGAACTCCCATTATTTCTCCTCCTCTGCATAAGAATTCCTTGAACCAATGGGAACATTCTCATGGATTTCCTTAGAGAACTTTCTACTTTGGGCAGCTGGAGGAGAATGAGGGTGAGGAGACATCTGGGGAAGCCGGAGTGTGGGTCACAGAGATAGTGACAAAGGAAGTGAACTAGAGGAAGAAAGATCAAAAGATGGGAGGAGGTCAGAAGGTTACAGGCAAGGGCAAGTAGGCAGGGACCTATTGCACTGGTGCACTTGCTCTGTTATACCCGAGTGAGTACAGGAATGCGCCACACTCTGAGATTGCGTTTCGAGTCCTTTATTGCTGGCGACCGAGAGACGGCTAATGCCCAAAATTCTCTCAGCTCCGAAGAAAGAGTTAGGTAGTTTTTTATACCCTAGTTTTTATACCCTAGTTTGAAAAGGCAGGTGCGGGGGAAACCTAGCTGACACAATTTTTCACAGAAGCAGTGCAAGCAAGAAGTTAAAAGATAAACTAGTACATAAGAAGTAAACAGTACCAGGTGCAGGGGCTTAAGCTGTCACAAAAGACCTATACTTATAGACATGGGGCTTCTGGGTACTTAACATCATCTGCGTTCCCAGGGTCTGCTTGTACCGCTTGACTCGGTATCTTATCAGCAAATGCATTCCTGCATGTGCCTGGTGTCAACCTGCCCCAGCCGCACACTACAGTTACATACATACAGTTTGTCCGGCTTCTTCAATTAAGAATGAGTTGGTTAGGCCAACACAAGGTAACACAGCTCACCTGGGCAGGGTGTTGACAGGCTGTTGTGGGGATGTTGGGGGCATCTAGAAAATATGGAGTTGAAAAACTTACAATATACATTTGAATCTTTGAGGGGCATCTCTTTTTAGAAACTTTTGGAATACCAGGAAATATTTTAAGTCTTTTCCTCTTCTGGCTGGGGGGGAATGGCTTATGCCTATAATCACAGCACTTTGGGAGGCCAAGGTGGGTGGATCACTTGAGGTCAGGAGTTCAGGACCAGCCTGGCCAACACGATGAAACCCCAACTCTATTAAAAATACAAAAAATTAGCCAGGTGTGGTGGCAGATGCCTATAATCCCAGCTACTCTGGAGGCTGAGGCAAGAGAATTGCTTGAGCTGGGGAGGCGGACACTGCAGTGAGCTGAGATTGCACCACTGCAGTCCAGCCTGGACGACAGCGAGACTCTGTCTGAAAACAAACCAAACCAAAGAGTCTTTTGCTCCTTTCTGACCATAAGTAGTTCCTAAGAACAGGCAGTTGGAAGGTTTCTTCATTCAGGTTGTCCCTCTTCAGCCAAATCTGAGCCTCTTCAGGTCCTTACCCTTGGCATTCTACCTTCCCCTCTTCACCCCTTTCTCTGTGCCAGTTCCCCTCAGCTATTCAGCCCTTCTTCTTCCAGGCCCTGTAGCCCTGGCTCTAAGCAGTTTCCCCACTAAAATCACTAGTTCTCTGTTGTTAATAAAAACTTTAGACAAATTAAATTTAGCCGAGTTTAGTTTGAACAAAGAACAATTTGCAAACCATCAGAATGACGGGGCAGCCATCAGAGGTTCGGAAAGCTCGGTTCCACCAGGGAAGTGAGGTACAGAAACAGCTTAACTGGCTACAGCTGCGAGTTGGCCTGGTTTGAACTTCGTCTGATCAGCTGGCTGCCTGTGGGTTACTGAGGTTTGGCTACTGGGACTGGCTGAGACTCAGCTATTCATAACAAAAGTATACTCCAGTGCCTTAGGCTTTCCGGTAGTTTACATACTAAGTTAGGTTGCAGTTCATTATTTGAGGGCTCAGGTAAGGAACCATCCCTCAGGCTAAATGTAGGCATATCTCATACCAAATTTAGTTTAATTTAACACAGTCATTTCCACTTTAGTTGAGATTCTCTGATCCAGAACAAATGAAAAGAAAGCATATGCTGAACACTCACTCTGAGAAACAGAGAATCCTCTTTGTAGGAATTCGTTTTTTGATTGGCTCAGAGGTACCATTTCTCATCAGTTGCTGGGCAGAAACCACTGGAGAAGATTAGAATGAAAACTGAAACTACATTGAATTGCACACATTGACAAAAAATTTCAGCCCTACATCTCTAAGTGTTTGTAGCTCTCGGTGTTTACCTGTTTGAATCATTAATGTGTGTGTTACCTGTATAATCAGCGTTTCTTCACATTCAGCCATCTTTTATGTCATAACAGAAGTACCAGGAGAACTGAGTGGAAAAATAAAAAGATTTTAAGAACTGAAGAGAAGATAGGTATTAATTAAAATGAAACTGTGGCAGTTTGCAGACATGTAATTGTTACATATATGATATTATCATCTTTTATCACAGATCCAAACGAAAGTATGAACAGAATGAAAACTAGACCTATTACATCTATTTCAGTACCTCCAAAATTCAGGTCTCAGATCCATTACTGAATTGTAGAATTTTCTGGTATCTAGAGGTAGTGCCGTCAGTAACGTCTATTTTACATTTTTCACAGAATTATTTTGGGTTGGCTGAGCTTCTTTATTCACCTCTAGCTCCTTATTTGTGCCACACTGTATTTTCACGTGTTTTTGTTTCTCACTCTGACAATGAAACATGTTGTGAGATTAACCTTTGGATAGACTGTAGGGATGTCTTTGTAAGGGGTCCTTGCTACAAACCTTGGGACCTAGTGATAGCAGACAGGATGCAGTCAGATGCCTAGGTAGGCAGCGAGGGGTCCCCGATGAAACCCCACCTCCACACCAGGGGCAGTTTAAAGCCTGAAAGACAAGCTACAAGTTAAATCCTCAGTCTGGGTTGAGAACTTCTTGAGAACTTGTCTTCCTGTTTGGCACACTTTCCTCTGATTGGTCCCCATCCTTCAACTACTTTACATATACTCACCCTTTCCTAATTGGTTTACTACACTGTGTGGCCACCTTTGAATAGTGTCTTCATTTTAACCTTTTTTTGCATACCCACAAACCAATCAGTATGCACTTTCCACTCTGAGTCCATAAAAAAGGCCCAGACCCAGGCACACAGAGGGAACTTTCACTCCTTTGGAGAAGGGTGCCAGCATCGCCTCTCCGCAGAGAGCTGTTCAGAATTGATTATAATTAATAGGACAATTTAAATTGGATAATTTTAAAGCATCTATATCTATAAATGCAGTTTTTTGTTGGCAAAACTCCTAAAAGGAAAATTTATCACTACCATTACAGGAGGTTTCCCCATCCATATAAGGAAACTACACAAGTACCAGCGTGTTTTAATTAGCTAAACAAAACTAAGTTAGATGAACATTTAAAAATCTGCTAGCAGGCTATTCCTTAACAAACTGTCGAAATCCCTGTTGCTACATTGACTAAAAGGTCATGATTCATGGAACATCTAAGACTTGGTTCATAGAAACCTAATGAGATAGAGATGTTGGCGGTTTATAACCTGCTGACATAAATGTATGAGCAACCTTTTGTAATCTAACCTATTGACCTGCATGTTTTTTCTTTACCCCAACTCATTCCTTACATGTAGGCTCAGTCTTTCAGTTACTTGCTTTACTGGTTTAACAAAAGCCGGGAAAAACAACTTTGTAGTAATCAGAATGTTATCCAATTGTATATTGTTTACTTTATTGTAAATACTGGTGAACAGTGGCTAATAAATAGTTTTATATTCCTTTATGCAAAAAAAAAAAAATTCTTCTCACCCTTCAATGTCCAGTGTATCCTCATTCTTCTTGAGGGCGGTACAAGAGCTCAGGAACGGCCACTGAACGTGAGTACAAACTACAACCCAGGTGAGCTGGGACACGCCAGTGTAGCCAAGTAAGGCTTGGGTGGGGTGTTGCTGGCTGGAGGTGCCCTGATTGCAAAGTGATCAAGAAGAAAAATCCCACATCACTAGCACTTCCAACTTTATTTGGGTCACAAATAAAATATAAAGGCCTATCCTTTGTTTGTGTCATAAAACAGATCCTCAAAGTAATTAAAATTCCCAGGACTTAGCCAAAACCTTGGCTGATAGAAAGTGGTATTACAACAGTTTGAATTTAGGCTCCGTGGTAGATCTGGATGGCTGCTTGTGAAATATCCAGATCAGCTTTTCTCAGTAATAAAACCCTATTTTCTTTTTTTTCTTTTCTTTTTTTCTTTCTTCTTCCTAAGAAAACTCCATTTTCTTATCGCAAAGTGTCCATCTCATTTGTAGACGGGGGAAGCCAAGGGACTAAGTTTGAGCCAGTTGCTTGAGGGTGGAAGTTTTGTTGATCAGAGAGATTATTTAAGGGGAGGCTAAAACAGCTGGGAAACCCTTACACTCCCCCGACTTTCTCCTTCCTCTTATCTAGAATATGGACTTCAGAGCTGGAGGTGCAGCAGCCCTTTTGTTACCATGAGGCATCATTAAAGATGCAAGCCACATGCTGAGACAGAAAAAAATAAAGGCAGAACTAAGGACTTGGATGACATTTCAAGCTCTCAGATCAGCCCTTGATGGCCACTATCCATATTTATTGACATAAAAAGTTCTCATTTTGTCAAAGCCAATGGGATTCAGGACTCTGTGTACTAATAACAAAATGCAATTCTTCCCTCTACCCACTACATTTTATAGGAAAGTTGAGTATAGAATTCAACTTCAAACACATAGGAAAGTTGAGTATAGAATTTCAATCTCCAGCCTTGAGGTCTCACCTAGACTCTTAGTTATTCAATGGACTACTCTGCATCTCCATGTGTATCTCTAATAGGCTCCTCAACCTTAATGTATCCACAACTGAACCTTTGGTATTGCACCACCCCCATCTTGCTTCTTGTGTCTCAGTTTCCCCATCTTAGAAATTGACAACTTCATCTTTCCAGTTACTTTTTAATTTCCTTTCTTCCTTCCTTCCCTTCCTCCCTCCCTCCCTCCTTTCTTCCTCCTTCCCTCTCTCTCTCTCTTTCTCTCTTTCTTTCTTGAGACGTAAGTTTTGCTTTGCTACTCAGGCTGGAATGCAGTGGTGCAATCTCTACTCACTGCAACCTCTGCCTCCTGGGTTAAGTGATTATCCTGCCTGCCTCAGCCTCCTGAGTAGCTGGGACTACAGGCGCACACCACCACGCCCAGCTAATTTTTGTGTTTTTAGTAGAGATGTGGTTTCACCATGTTGGCCAGGCTGGTCTTGAACTCTTGACCTTAAGTGATCCACCCGCCTCAGCCTCCCAAAGTGCTGGGATTACAGGCATGAGCCACCAGGCCCAGCCCATCTTTCCAGTTTCTAGGACTACAGCCAGAGAGCTACTTTTCTCCTTTGCCATGTGAGGACACATGTAAAAAGCTGCGAACAAGGATGCACACTCTTACCAGTCACCAAACTGCTGGTGCCTTGATCTTAGGTTTCTGAGTCCCCACAGTGCAAGAAAAAAATTTTTAGTTTATTTATGACTCAGTTTTGGTATATTTATCATAGCTGTCTGGACAGACTAAAACACACATATAAACGACTCTGTTTTCTGCCTTAACAAATCAGATATTTAAATATATGATCCTGATTCTTCCTATAATGTGTCACTTCTAACTTCAGTAACATAATTTCAGACTATTAAAAAAGCTTTTTGTGCCGAGTGCAGTGGCCCACACCTATAATCCCAGTACTTTGGGAGGCTGAGGCAGGTGGAACACCTGAGGTCGGGAGTTCAAGACCAGCCTGACCAATATGGTGAAATCTTGTCTCGCTAAAAAATGGTGGCACATTCTTGTAATCCCAGCTACTTGGGAAGCTGAGGCTGCAGAATTGCTTGAACCCAGGAGGCGGAGGCTGCGGTGAGCCAAGATGGTGCCATTGCACTCCAGCCTGGGCCACAAGAGCAAAACTGTGTCTCAAATAAATAATAAAATAAAAAATAAACAGCTTTTTGTTCAATTCCATTTTACAACTGCATTACTGAGTTGTGTAAAATCCATTAAGTCAGCATTTTAGATGCCTGATTGTATTAGTCAGGGTTCTCCAGAGAGACAGAACCAATAGGGGATAAAGATATGACAGGGCATTTATTACAGGAATTGGCTCATGCAATTATGTAGCCTGAGAAATCCCACGACAAGCCAACTGCAAGCTGAAGACTCTGAGATTCTGGCAGTGTGGCTCAGTCAAAGTGGGAGAGCCTCAGAACCAAGCTGATGGCGTAACTCGGTCCAAAGACCAAAGGCCTGAGAACCTCAAGGCCACTGGTAACCGTCTCAAAGACCAAAGGCCACAGAGCCGGAGTTGTGATACTGAAGAGCAAGAGAAGAGTGTTCCAGACAGAGAGAGGGAATTCACCCTTCCTCGCTTTTTGCTCTGTTGGGCCCACAGCTGATTAGAAGGTGTCCAAAGATACTGAGGGCAGATCTCTTCCACTCAGTCCACTGACTCAGGAGTTGAACCAGGAGTTGGAGTTTGCAGTGAGCTATGATCCTGCCATTGCACTCCAGCCTAGGCAACAGAGTGAGACCCTGTCAAAAAAAAAAAAGGGCCAGGCACAGTGACTCATGCCTATAATCTCAGCAGTTTGGGAGGCCAAGTCTCCTCTGGAGACAGCCGCAGAGACACATCCAGAAATAATCAGCTGTCTAGTATTCCTTAACCCAGTCAAGTTGACACCTGAAATTAACCATCACATTCATTTACTTCCTGAATCCTCTAGCCTAACTCTCCAGTAATGGTTTGAGGATTCCTGGGGTCGATGGGAGGACAGGGTCTCTGACATACAATTTTGTTTTGTTTTGTTTTCCCTTTGTTTGAGATGGAGTTTTGCTCTTTCACCTGGCTAGAGTGAAGTGGCATGATCTCAGCTCACTGCAACCTCCAACCCCACCGCCCCATTGGGTTTCAGTGATTCTCCTGTCTCAGCCTCCTGAGTAGCCGGGAGTATAGGCTCCTGCCATTGCTAATTTCTGGATTTTTAGTAGAGATGGGTTTTGCCATATTGACCAGGCTGGTCTTGAACTCCTGACCTCAGGTGATCCACCTGCCTCGGCCTCCCAAAGTGCTGAGATTACAGCATGAGTCACTGTGCCTGGCCCTTTTTTTTTTCGACAGGGTCTCACTCTGTTGCCTAGCCTGGAGTGCAATGGCAGGATCATAGCTCACTGCAAACTCCAACTCCTGGTTCAAACAATCCTCCATTCTAGTCTCCTGAGTAGCAGGGACTACAGGTGTGCATCACTACACCTCATTTTTTTTTTTTTTGTAGAGACAAGGCCTCACTTGGTTTGCCCGAACTGATCTATTTTTAAGGAGTCTGCAAAGTTAATAATCTTGTTTTCATGTTAATAATAAAACAGTTTGTTGTTTTTAATCTCAGTCTGTCACTAGGATAAAGTTTTCTTGAGCCCATATAGTCTATGATATCCTAACAGATCAAATATAAAGGCAGATATGATAATCCAGTCATGTTCTTTTAAGCAAGACATTAGATTTGGAAAAAGTTAATCAATGCCACACTTCTCAATAGAATTTATTTTGCTTTGGATGCCATACTTATTTTTTCACAAACATTCTACTTATATTAACCTATAATTGGCTTATTCATGCTATTTTGATATAAATTAATAAATACATTAAAACATTTCTTAGTTTCAATCTCAAATGCCATACATATCAACAAATATTTGCCAATATAAACAAAAGCTATTTGGAATCCTTCATCATTTCTAAGTGTCTAAAGACATCATGAGACCAGGAAGTCTGAAGTCACTGGTGCCCCCACTGAACCGGAACGCTGAGGTAGATCTGGTCCAGTACTGCCCCGCTCAACCAGGACCTCAAATCTCAACCACACTCGAGGACAGAGTACTGACTCCTTGTTTACTGCAGGGGCACCTGAGCCCAACCACACCCACATGTCCATGTTCTTCATTCATCTTCATCCCAGGTCCAGGCCTGTGGGTGTGTGCTCTCAAAATCCTGGGGCTGGGGGGAAATGAGCCATTGTCTCCTGGGAACCCTCAGCTGTTATGGTGGGACTCAGCCACCCTCACAACCTTGGTCCCTCCCAGCTCTCTGGTTCCACTTCCTCTATCTCTGACCTGTATATCCGGTTCCCTCTCCCCTCCGGTGGTCGTGTGGATTCCTCTCTTCTCTCACATCCTGGTGAACCCTGTTGGCTTCATTCCAAGTCCACAGCATCTGGTGCCAACTGGCATACTGGGCTCAATGTCGTCACCCTGATGCTAAACAGCAGGTTCACTGCCAATCAGCTTCTCACACTTTCTTCTTGGCTGGGAGCTGTGTAACAACTAGTTCCCTATGCCTGGATCCCGTTCCACAGTAACAAGCAAATGAACTGCTAAAGCCATAGCCTAGTGAGGAGGTGAACAGGGGCTGAGGTCTGAAGGGGATGTGAAACAGGCAGCTGGAAGATGTTCTCTTATGTGACTAGAGCAGGGAGGGCATGTCTTCCACCAGGGGCGTTGTGCGGTGGCTGCTGAGATGGCCAGGGCTTGTCTACATGGCTGTGAGACCAGGGAATTGATCCTGTGGGCTGCGGTGGGTCCCTGCCCTGTGAAGTGTCAGGCCCTCTTCAGGCACCGTGACCCCATCGGCTCCTGTGAGTGCAGGGCAGATGAACATGGGGCTGTCATCAGATCCTAACCTGAAGAAGGGCCTCATAGGCACAGAAAAGACTGAACGGGGGCATGTGTAGATGTGTGATCTGTCCTTCATGTTGTAGAAGG